AATGTCTCCAGAATATGGGGAAATTAATTGCTTTTGTAGTGCAAAACCTTCTTCAACTGAAACAGAAAAGCAATTCTCCAATTATTTGAATACCTGTGTTTGTGTGTATGTGTGTGTGTATGTGTGTGTGTGTGTGTGTGTGTGTGTGTGTGTGTGTGTGTGTGTGTTGATGTTTGTTTGTTTTGATGATGAATAAAAAAGACACAGAGCTGTGACCACGAAGAGGCCTTGTGGCGCAACGGCAGCGCGTCTGACTCCAGGTCAGAAGGATGCGTGTTCAAATCACGTCGGAGTCAAATCTTTTTTGGTCTTTCTGGTAGCATTTTCTCGAATCAATAATTAATTTTTAAAATTTACCTTTTAAATTTTAACCAGGCTTTATGTGCTTCTCGTTTATTGTTAACATTGTGTTTGATACAACATCTGCTGCAGTGGTCCTATATTATGTTTTTTTTTCTTTCTTTTTCTGTTGTTATTGTTGTTTTTGTTACTATTATTCCTGCTGCTGTTGTGTTTGACGTTATTTGTTCCTTTTTTGTATGGAAAATGGGCCAATGTTTTTTGTTTAGAAATATGAAAAAAGACAACGTTCTCTGAAACATTAATAGAGAAGATCGCAGTTGTTACATTTAACAGATGATATAAACAGCATAAATTAACAGTTTTGTTAAAGCAATCGTAGACGTTGTAAAGTAAAAGAAAGTGAATAGAGATCAACAAAAAGACAAGATTAGGGGGAAAAAATAGATTGACCCCGACGTGATTTGAACACGCAACCTTCTGATCTGGAGTCAGACGCGCTACCGTTGCGCCACAAGGCCTCTCGTAAGTTGCAGGCGAGTGTCAGATAGCAAAGACACAAAAAAACCCCAACAAAAAACCCAATTAAGGCTAAAACACTATTTTGATTTGGAGAAGAACAGAGCAAAACAGCTTATTTTCTGAAAGGCTTAATTTAGCTGCAAGAAAAGGGGGAAAATAAAGTATAAGTAACTTTTTCTGGTGACCCACTATAATTGTACTATAATATAAATCTAGTTCTTTTTTTGAAGTTGAACAAAGCATCCACTGGCCAGTAGTATCAACGATTATCATAGTGGTTGCATTTCGTTGCATCACGAAATAAAACTGCAAAGGGGAGTAGCTCAAATAAAGCTTAAATGTGGAATAAAAGTAAGATTACGTCCCTTTGTAAATACAGCTCTCTCTCTCTCTCTCTCTCTCTCTCTCTCTCTCTCTCTCTCTCTCTCTCCCTCTCTCTCTCTCTTATCCCCACTTGTTTTCTGATCCCCTGGTCTAGCATCTCCTGAAAAAATCACATTACTCTGTTTGAAGGGAACAAGGCAATTTTTACGTTCATACACATATTATTTTTATAAAATAAAATACTTGTTTAAACAGCCGCTTCCTGGTGTTAAGCTTCTCGGATTTCAGCTTCGAAGGTGGAAGAGAAAAACATTTTTTGATCTTGGAAAGACTGTTAGAAGATAGAAAAACACATAAAACGAAGCTTTCAAAACGTAGGCAGATCTAGAAATAACAGAATCATACGAGTAAGAGTTATCTTTGCAAAAACTCAGGTGTCGACGACTATAATTAATATATTGTTCATTTTTGTTACAGGCGAGGGCCGCAAGAGGTCATACCTTTCCGTGGGCAACAGCGCCGAGTACTCACTGAAGATTGTGGAGGCAGACATCGTGGATCTTGTGGGCACCATTAGGACCCCTGGTGGTCAGATTGAACCAATCATCTTGAAGAAAACTGGCGACGGAGAGCTGGGTAGGTTGACAGTAACTATCAATTGTTTGCAAACTGAAAAGATAGGTACTGATATCGAATATTATTAATGTTTGACTTCTCACCATAGGACAAATACTGCTTTTGTTTTCATGAGTGGTTAACAAACTGACCAGTTATATGACATGTAAAAAAAAAGAAAAACAAAACAAAACACCTACGTCACAATGAAAAACAGTAACAACAACAACAAGAACAACAAGACCAACATCAAGAAAAGAAAGAGGAAAGCAAACCCCCCCCCAAAAAAAAACAAACAAACAAACAAACAAACACAAAACAAAACAAACCCAAACATAACAGACGAATAAACAAACTAATTAAAAACAACAAACACTCACACAGACAGATACACAAAACATGTCCCCCTACTCCTCTCCAAATCACTTCTAGAGATACAAACAAAATAATCATTCCGTCAACTTTTCCTCACCAATACTCCTCCACAGCCATCGCTTCGTTCACACCCCGTGAGAAGGGAGAGTACACCGTGAATGTCATGCGTCATGAGAAGAACATCAAGAACAGTCCTTTCAAGATCAAAGTGGGAGACAAAGAGATTGGTCACGCCGCGGGTTGCAGGGTCACAGGAGCTATTGCAGAGGCCATTGCAAACTCCGGCAATGAGCTGGTCATCGACACCTCTGATGGAGGTAAACATTTGAAAAGATTGCAAAAATGTCACGCTCGCGTCGACACCAAAAATGAATCACTTACGGGCGGGAGGG